GGGAAGTAGTGCGGCGAGTGAAGAGTGGGCGCCCTCCTCCCTCCTCCCTCAGGAGACCGTACTGGATCCGCCTATGGTACCAGGCTGGCCGTTGCAATCACGCGTTTTTGCACTATTTGGCGCTTGAAGTCCCAGCAGCCAGGATTTGTGACTTACTGATTCTCGAAGTTCAGGTAGTTAATTGTGCAGTTAATCTCAGCAAAGACGCATGCATTTTGCTCGGACTTCGCCACTCTTTTTTCTCAGTAATCAGACAAGCAAAAAAGCACAAGTTTTACGGAAATGCTGGCGTATTTTGTACATTACTAGAAACGTAAAATTAATTTCATGAATGCATACACTTCGTGCACAAATTCAGCAAACTTGACGGTGCAAAATCGTAGGCAATCTCTTTTCAAAATAATACTGGTAATGCGATTACGCACGACCCTACAATGTAAAATTACCGTCCCAGCCGCCCTTTTTGTGCAACATCAATGGGATCCGGCACTTTGAAGATGCACATTTATGAAATGAACTTCTGAAGTTTTTCATTCTTTTTTCGCTGAATTTTACACTTACCGAAAAGGATTGGTGTGAGAAAGAATGAATAATGATGAAGCTTTTGGAATTGGTTTTTGTTGTTTAACAGTGATTAGTTCGGACATCCGTCTTGGTCGCGCGGTCACCATCTCACCTCCTTCTTCATCCTCTTCCATCACAATTCTAAAGCAGCTATTGACAACCTTATTTTAAAATATTCGTACAAATTTGCTGGACGTGCATGGAGTAATTTTTACTATTGTTTTATTAATCACCGCTTCGAAGAAAATGTTCCCCGTGAATCCTGTGCTGACTTGGATTCAGAACAATATACATCCGGAAATAATCACACTGTACTAGTCCAATAAACACAGGACCTTTAGGCACAAAAACAGTTTTGTTCATGGTGAAACAAAGCTAGATGGTGTGCCGCTCATGATACAGACGCTCACAGTTGTAATGCCAGAGAATCGCAGGATGCTGTACTGCGCAGACGCGATGCAGAGCATTTGCAACTAGGCATCCAAAAGCTAAACGGTCTCGACATGGCAAAGACACATATTTGCTAAGGTCTTTCCTTATTTCAGGGTATCTTTTGCGCAAAAAGAGTGGACTTTTGACACTTTGGCGCAAGGAACAAAAAGAAAAGGGACCGGCTATCATCTCTGGCCTCTTCATTGCCATTTTCATCATACTTCTCATCCTCATAATCATCTTCTGCCACTTCTTCCTCCACTTCTGCAAAGCTTAATTTCATCGCACACGAGGAAGTAGAGAAACAACGAAGTGGTGATTAGTTGAAAATTTTCAGTGAAAGTAGAAGTGTATGCCTACCTGCTTGCTCTTCCTCCTTTTCAGCATTCGTCAAACTGTCGGCATCCGCTAAATTATCCACTGCGATGGCAAGGAAAACATTGAGCAGGATGTAGTTACCACATATAAATAAAACAATGTAATAAACCGAAACAAGAACACCCCAAGAGCCAACACCACCAAACGATGCTATACCATTGTACATCACCGTATTCCAGTCTTCACCGGTTAAAATCTGCAGCCTCAAATTTATAAGAAGATTGCTCGACCGAGCCTTTTGTCCTGGAGCAGCTGCGTCTGGTACTCACCGCTTTCGCCCCCTCTAATTGTATATTTGCGTAAAATCCACTTTGGGTAGTGAAAACGAAGTTGCAATTAAGTATTTGATCTGTTATCATCAGTAACACAGAGGCACGCAATACGCAATTTTAAATTTTGCTGAAATGCGGCAACATGCTGACTGTAGCTACGTCAGGCCCACTTAGCTTAACTTGTTT